AAATTGAATTGATTCCATGAATCTGAGGGCCTTAACTAAGTCAATTTCCCGGTGATTGAACTACCAAAACCTTGACTGAACAAGCAAGGGATTGAGCAACTAGCGCGAAAGCCGTAAACTGCACTTGTCTGGCTTGCTTGTTTAGCTTGGCTACTCTTTGAAAGATGGGAATTGCGGGGTCAATTAAATAATCATTGATAATGGCATTTCCGCGGCCTCTAACACATGGTTATCAAGCCGTGAAGGCCCCTTTTTACTGATTTACAAACCTACTGGTAAGGCCCCATGGGGAAGTTCCTGGCGAAGCTTATCAACGAGTGAATTTTTCGTCTACTGGTTGAAGGCTGCCTTTGGGGTATATCACGCAGGAATGAATTGTCCAGAGGATTCTTTGCTAGAAAGAAATAAAAAAGGGTATGTTGCTGCCCTTTTGAAAGGATTACTTTCTTATGCGTGTGTATCTCTGGAAGTTCGGTCATCAGAGGAGAAGTAAATAGTAGGAACTAAAGAGGAAAGAAATAAGGAGGAGTAGGAAAGAAATAAGGAGGAGTAGGAACTAAGGAAAAAAAAAATAAAAAATCTTCGTCGCGCGCGGGCGAAACGATTCTGGAGCATCCTCGGGGTTGGGTATTGTTCCTCCAATGATCGTAGTACCAAGTACTTCTACAGCTACTGCCAGTTTGGCCATAGTTCCCCGTACCGACTACTTGGTATTATAAACTCTGCAACAATGGTTATAATGGTTGGGCTTCGCCCAATAAGATCCCGTACCGGTTGCTTGCCCTACTGCTTACTTGTCTTCTGAGCCTGTACCGATGCCTGCTTGCCTATCCCTGACAACTCCTCTTAGTGTAAGAATCAATCTACTAGTTTCTTAGTCATTCTAAAATCTTGACTTTCGTTTTCATTATCAATGCGTTTCTGCATTAATGTTACCAGCTCTCACGCAGGCCCATATCCTTGATTTTCTATCAATCTCTAATTCTGATCTTCCCCCCCCCCC